AATTAGATTTTTCTTTCCTCCTCTGTCCAAGCAGCAGCTTTTCTCTGTCTGTAAGAGCATGCAGACTCGGGTGGTGGAGCTCATCCCTCAGCTGCTGGATGAAGGATTTATTGAAGAGCTGCTCGTGGTCAATGATGACCTCAACAACGCCTTCATTCGCTATGAGAGGTGCATGTTTCAGATTTTATTTGTAAGGCAGTGTTGAGATGCAACCACAGTGTGCTCAAAAGTGTGCTGCATTGTTTTTTAGGTTTGACAGATTGAACAAGGCACAGATTGCTAATACACAACAGGTAAAAGATCCTCTTGTTTAATTTTCTTTAACATGACGCGTGCTGCACCGTGTGTCTGAAAATAGTAAACTGTCATTTAAGCAATGAGTATAAGCTCTCACCCACTTTTCAGAGCTCTTCAACAAACCTTATCAACCTCAGTTCTGAGCCTTCCACTGTCAGACAACCAGCTGTCATTTCAACAACCAGCCAACCAGCCGCCAGCACCAGTACCAATCAGCAGCAATCAGCCAATCACAGTCAGTAAACTTTGAGTAACTTTGAGCTTCTTTACGGTTCAGTTCAAAAAACACTGTCTTTTCCTCATCACGTTTCTTTGAAGTTGTTGGGAAAACAATCACTTAGAAAATGGGAACTATGATACTTAGTCAAAGCGTCTGGACTTCTTTAAGTTGCTTGAAGACTCTGATTACATTCACACATTTAGGCGCTTCTGACATAGTGAAACTACAATTCAAAAAAGGGCATTTTGGTTACTTTTCCCTGTATGTTTTTACAAAAACAACCAGTGACAAGTGGGACTTCATTACCAAAGTTTGAATTTTAAAGAAAAGGGAGTAAATTGAGTTTAAAGTGAAATCAAATGGTTCTCACACTAGTTGCTGATCTTATTCATATATCACTTCTCTTTCTGCTGGAGAGATGTTCCAGTATAACCCTTGTTTTACTGAGGCTTCCTGTGACTGAAGTCAATTTAATTAATTATCAATCTAAAGACTAGAAATACAGCAATGGACATCTGTCTGTGTAGTTTCTTAGACGTCCAGGTCATGGCATTCCCAGGAGCTTGGAACAAAAGCAACTGGACTTTTTAAAAAACTGTAAAGATGTTTCACCTCTCATCCAAGACGCTTCTTCAGTAATAAAACTGAGGTGGAGGTGGAGAGTCCCAGGTATTGATATCCTAGTTGGGGTTGTCCCGTAGGAGGGTCGTTAACCCACTATCAATCATTATCACATGAACCAAGGTGTGAAAAAAGGCGTGGGTCATTATCACCGGAGGTTTCGGGTGAAACCATTGTGAGACGTTGCCTTACGCTATCATGTGGTCTATTGACGTCACCTGACACAAGACGTGCATGGAAGTTGAGCCATCTGGGAAGGGATTTCATGATTTCATTGTAAGTGGATGACAGTTGGTGTCATAAACCACCCCATGCTCGTTCACAGTGGACATAGAGGGCGTCTTTTGCTCCTCTTTCAAACCATCTGTCTTCTTGGTCCAAATGTAAACATTGGCATCTTTGAAAAAGTGACCTTTATCCTTTAGATGCAGATGTACAGCTGAGCCTTGTCTTGTTGAGATAGCTCCTCTATGTTTCTATCCACTGAGTTGATGTGAAAAGTGAAGGGTTGGAGTAGGTGAAAGGTGGAACCTCTTTATGAAACTTAAAGTACTCCAGATGTTTTTTCCCCAAGCTCAGAAGAAAGCAATGAACATAATTAATGCAAACTAAAATATTGCAAATCTGAAAATCCCTGTGATCATGATAACAATTAGTTTTAGGATCTTAATTCAAAGAGCTTCCTTTTAAATAGTGTATATAAATTTGTGTTCCTTAGGCAAGGCGTTAACTTCATAAGAAGCAGATCTTACTTCCTGTGGGTTAAACAAAGCCTGTTGGTGAAGTTTCATAACATATCATCAGGTTATGATATGAAATGATAAACATCCTAACAATGAACACTTACATAATATTCTGCATAATAATCTGCATTGTTATTGTTTTGGGGAACTGTTGGATAGTGTGTCGCTGAAAGAATTTTGGGAGAGCATTATCTCCTTTCCTTTCATAAAGAAAAGGAGATAATATTGAATAGAAGTAATACAGGAAGTGCTGAATCACCTTTTTTAGTGTTTACAGTTTCCGAGCAGATCTTTTAATAGCAGCTCTATAGAAGCCTCTGGGTAATTGTGCTCCTTGAGCAAAATTGATTATTCAGCCGTAGCATTTGTCTTATGATTGGTAAAAACAGGATGCTGTGGCTGAACGTCACAAGGGAATGTTTAAAAATGCATAAGCTCCATGTTGACCGGTGTCACCTCATGTGATGAATGGCAACAACAATGGTTATAGGAACTTCTCTTCTGTAACTGCTGTAACTTCTATGCTACTTCTGCTTAACATTTTAAATATATGTTTTTGAAAACATGGTCAAATTTAATACAATTTTGTTTTTCTCTAAAGTTATACCACAATTTTAATTAACAGCAATTAGATAACAAAGTAAATAAAATGAGGACTTCTGCATTGCAGATGAAGAGGAGGAATTTGACATGTTTGCGCAAACCAGAGGCAGCTCTCTGGCTGACCAGAGGAAAAGGTGAGTGTTACTTACTTATGATGGATATAAATGATATCATCTATGCGTTTTATATGTTAGGGATCTGCATGCCACTGATAACAAGTCGATTTATTAATGTTCTAGATAATGAATCACATTTATACTTATCAAAACAATACCTTAAGGCCCTGACAATTACAATCTTCCTATCAGAGCTGTGTTTCATTTCTTAACATTAAGCTAAGTTTTGAATTTTGGACAGTTGTAAGCAAATATGCTTTATTAGAAACACAGAGCCTTTAACAAAGACCTTTCCAATAAGAAATCCAAGCGACCTTGTCATCACCATTTATATTTAACAACTAGTAAATGATTTAGAGCAGCAGTCCCCAACCTTTTTTGCACCACGGACCAGTTTAATGTCACACAATATCTTCATGGACCAGCCTTCAAGGTGTCGCGGATAAATACAACAAAATAAAATGATACGAGCAAGACAAAAACTCTGGGGTGACGTGGGCCACAAGTGGCCCCTGGGCCGCGAGTTTGAAACCCTTGACTTAGAGCAGGGGTGGGCAACTCCAGGCCTGGAGGGCAGGTGTCCTGCAGGTTTTAGATGTGTCCTTGATCCAGGACAGCTGATTCAAATGGCTAAATGACCTCCTCAACATGTCTCGCAGTTCTCCAGAAGCCTGGTAATGGACTAATCATTTGATTCAGGTGTGCTGACCCAGAGTGATATCTAAAACCTGCAGGACACCGGCCCTCGAGGCCTGGAATTGCCCATCCCTGACTTAGAGGAACCCATCTGGTACCAACAGCCATGCATTGCTTAAAGTCACTTAACTCCCCTTTCTCCACTGTTCTGATGCTTGGTTTGAACTTCAGCCTACTTGTCTACGCGCGTAAATGCAGTGAGTTGCTGCTCTGTGATTGGCTGATTAGACATTTACAATAACGAGCAGTTGAACAGGTGTACCTAACAAAGTGTCTGAGTGTTTTTATGTGCTGTATATGCCTGATCTGTGTGTGGTTGTGTGTGTTCAGTGTTAGGTATGAAGATCCAGGAGCTGTAGAGGGCCTGGCTGGAGCTCTTGATACCAGGCTGCAGGTCACAGGAGGAGGGAGTACAGCAACAGTAAGATGCAGCTGGATTTTGTTTGGAGTAATATCCCTGTTTTAATATTACGAATAAATAAAACTCAGGGTCATTTAATTTCTTTTAGATTCCGCCAGCGACAAACTCTATGCAGAATGATATTGACAAATGGTTATCTTCTGATGTGGTAAGAGAACACATGTGTGTGAATAGATAGATAGATAGATCAGGGTGATAATAGCATGACATAATCTTTATTCTTTGTCTACGAAAAAGCCGGAAGAGCAGTCTTCAGTTTGCGAGGGAGTTTCCAGTGAAGGTATGTCCTGTCGCTTCTTTTGAGTAATGATAATATTTTCAGACACACACAAATATTAAATTATACGTGTCACCATTTCAGAGTTTGATAAGTTCCTGGAGGATCGGGCGAAGGCGGCAGACTACAGCAGCCAGACGATTCTCAATGTGCCATCTTCCACACCCAGACGGCCACCACAATCTAGCCAGCAACAGGATAGCACACATGATCATCTGTTCTCACTCTGAGTGTGTGAATAAGCAAGACGACAGGATGGAGGTCAACACAGGAGTATCACAAACTGAAATATGGTTACATTCACACGTATAGTGTGCCAGGTCGGGTTTTTTCTAAAGGACACACACACACACACACACACACACACACACACACACACACACACACACACACACACACACACACACACACACACACACACAGATGGAACCTGACACTACAGAACTGCTAATCAATCAGCTTGTTTCATAAATGCTGTATTTCTCTGTTAATTCTGCTGTTTGTTATCTGTATGTGCGTATATACAATTTTATGTGACTGTATTTATATGTAAGATTATAACATGGGAGTAAACTGGATGTTTAGTATGATGCAGAAAATATACTTGATATTACACCAAATGTGCCTTTGATCCACAATGCTGATTTTGTGTAGATGAAAATAAATGGGGCATTTGCCCCATGAACATTTTTCATGTGGTCTCTTTTTAAAATATTTTACTCCTTAGTCCACACACCAACTTTATCCAATGAATATTTCATTGATAACCCATTTAAAGTTGGCACTTTGCAAAAGTGTGAAGTGTGGAAATTTTGGTACGTGACACCTTGCATTAAACCAAATTTCAGCATAGTTGTCTTATATTCAGATTGCAAGTTAGCCAAAATATCAGTCTTGGGAACTCAAGTGTGCCATACTCAATAGAGTGCTGCTTGTGTGATAAGACACTGAATTCAGTATGTTGTTGTTTAAGAGCCCAAGGATGTCTGGTGTTGGGTACACAGAGTCCCTGAAGCACCTAGCACCAACTGAAAGCATAACTAGAGGACTGAAGGGAAAAGCTAAAAGAGCAATTTTTCATTCTTTGAGCTACAGTCCAGCTCTGAAGACCATGTGTGGGCATTTTGCCATTTGTCTCTGTTGGATTTTCCTATCTTTTCTCCTGGATGCATCTCTGGCCTTTATTTCCAACATTTCAACTCAAAATCAGCATCCAAATGTGACTGTTGCTCAAGACCAGGATGGCACAGGCTGGGATTCACCATTTCTTCAGCTGGGAGCCAGTCTCCCATCCTTCTCACAGCCAATCCGTCCATACACCCTCATCACAAATGCTGACGACTACCACTACATGCCCAAAGTCAGACATCGCCAGCCTTCTCGCCTCCTGCGTCTTCTGGGATCCTCATTTGACCCGTTTTGGATGTCTGTAGATCACCCTTTTGAGTCCCCCAAAGGAAGTCAGCCCACCCTTACCACCTTCAAAGAGAAATTTAACCTGCGTGTGTCTCCAGAACTGAGAAAGGCTTACGCAAAATATCAGCAGAAACTAGAGAAGGAGGCTGCAGAACTGGACCTCAGTTCTCTGCCATCAGATGCTGCCAATTCAGTCAGAGGATGGCTGGTGCGCTCAGCAACATGCAAATTACAGCACCAGTGGGTCGATCTGGGCCCAACCTTCTGGCCGCGGTGGCTGCGGCAGACTGACTGTGAAGGGCCAGATGGAGGGCAAAGTTGCTCCTTTCCCAGTGGGATGAACTGCGTGCGAGCTCAAACAACACACATAAAGATTCTGGCTTGGCACTGCATTGAAGTCAGAGATGGAGATGATCGCTCCAGAAAATTGAGAGGTGAAAACTCTGATGGCAGTGCTCAGATGGGGACAGGTGAAACAAGGAAAAGATGTTTATGGAGACAAGTGCCTTATCCTGTGGTGACTGCATGCATGTGTTCATGTAAATGAATGTTTTTTATCACTGCAGACCGGCTTTTTTTCTGTGCACACTGTGTTTTTTATTATTTTGTTGATTTTCAGTGTTATAGTTGAAATGATCGAACATGGCTACTTTTAATTACTAAGACGATGCCGCTACCTGCTCTTTCATTTTCTCTGCTCTAAACTTTCAACATTTTTAGTACAAACTGGCTTAATAAATATTTAAGTAAATGTTTTACGTCAGTAAACTGCAATTTCTAAGGCGCTGAGTTTAGTGTAGTTCGTGCTACATTCATGTTTATGGTAAATTCGTGGATTGTGCATGTTTCTTCCAATTTTTCTTTTTCACTCTATTTTTGCACTTTCATATTCAAACAGTATCAAACATTTTTTGTTTACAGAGAACATTAAAAATGAAAGTGTTTTTGGTAACTCACTGTTGTGTTTGATTGATTGATCATACTTGACAGTATTAATTGAAGATATATACTAATCATTCTAAATTCAAAATCTACATAAACCTGTTTCTAGATGACTTCCTTGCAAACTATTCTAATGTACACATGCGCATGAATATAATATGAATAAAATATAATTGTCAGTGCCTATGTGATTCCTTGTCTTCTTCTGTCAAAAATTAATAGTGTCTTCAATATTAAAACTACCAAATGTCGTACAACCCTGCGGCAGTGTGAAACCTTGCGTGGATCAAAACTCCGAGGAGCAGTGAATGCATCAACTGTGGATACGTCTTTGCGTAACTCCTGAGCTGTACGTCGCTGACTGTACACATACAAGATGGCAGCTTTGGTGGAAGACGAATTTGAAGATGCGCCCGATGTGGAGCCGTTAGAACCAACTCTGAAGAATATCATCGAGCAGAAATCTTTGAAATGGATATTTGTGGGTGGGAAGGGTGGCGTTGGTAAAACGACATGTAGGTAAGTTGATTAAAATGCTAAATTGCCTCCGGATACTGACTCGGCTTGAGCGGCTGGCTAGCATTAGCCGTTACCATAAGTTGACGTTGATCATTGTCCGAAAATGAATTGCGTGGGTAATTTTCCCACGACGAGATTAGACTGGTGTTAAATTTCTACCTAAAGACGCGCTAGCATCAAAGAAAAGTGACTGTTATGTTTTAGATTTGAGTAAGGAGTCCTTTCGCCGGGCAGTTTGGTAGCTGTGAAGCGCAGTGAGCAGCTAACGTTAGCAGCTGACACATGGATTCACGACTTTCTCAACACCTTCAGTAATCACCGTATAAGCCATCATCAATAACCTGCTGCTAATGTTACCTGTTCTTTTACTTCACCCAGAGTTAAAGGAGACTCCAGAGTTAGGCTGTCAAGCCCGTATTATCATATCTTTATTCATAACAAGAAGAAAAAAAATATGAATAAATGCGATTCCAAATGAACGTGGATCTAGTCTGTAGCGGACTTATTTCAAACAAGATAACTAACAAAAATCTAATGTGTCAAACAAATATGTACATCACATCAGAGCAGCCACGATAACATTGCGCATAGATCAACCACTGTCGCATATGCTATCCCTTAAGTTATCTACTGTGTTTCAGTTGGAATATAATTGCATGCGAAAGTTGCGTTCATCAAAGTAACTGGGGGAAGGTAATGTTCACAAAGTGGAAATGGATTAGAATTTTACTTTGTGCTTTACACGGCATGCATGCACATGAAGGATTAAGAATTCAAAACATTGCGGATCTCATTGTTGGTCAGTTGCACAGCATTTCTTACATGCTTACATTGGGCACAAAATACTCTTAACAGGCTCTTTAAACACAAACCTGTCCCCTTTCCATGTCCTTCTGACAGCTGTAGTTTGGCTGTCCAGCTGGCTGCTGTTCGGGAGAGTGTGCTCATCATTTCCACAGATCCTGCCCATAACATCTCTGATGCTTTTGACCAGAAGTTCTCAAAGGTACCCACTAAGGTTAAGGGCTATGACAACCTCTTTGCAATGGTGAGTATATGTGTACACCTAACAGCTATTAAATGTTACAAGTGTGAGGTGCTGCTTGATGAGATTAAAAATTGAACTCAAATGTTTGCAAATATATTTTTTTCTGAGAAGCATGTTATTAATAATATTAATAACATTGATGAAGTCTATGAAACAACAATGAGCAAGCATCCACAGTACAAGGATTTTCTTATCCACATTTTCATCTTTGCATCATATTAAAGACTAACGTTTAGACAGAGTTTAAAAAGCACAGAGGGTTTGTTCATTCTGTTTTTGGAAAAAACAAGTTAGTGCATGAGATCACCATCTTTTCAGAGTCACGAGGCTAGCCAGTTCCACATGTGAGTCTCACAAGCACCACTGTGTAACAAACTCAATCACTGGAGGGCATAAAAACATTTGCAATCTATTTGAAGTGTTCTGATCTTAGGATTTGGGCATGTGTATACAGGAGATTGACCCGAGCTTGGGTGTGGCAGAGCTGCCTGATGAGTTCTTCGAGGAGGACAATATGCTCAGCATGGGCAAGAAGATGATGCAGGAAGCGATGAGCGCCTTCCCCGGCATCGATGAGGCTATGAGCTATGCAGAGGTCATGAGGTAGTTTTGTATTTGAGTTTTCTCGCAGCATGTCTGAAGTTTTAAGGACAGTTAGTGAGTGTTATACTTACCACTGTTGTTTGCCTGTATGTCAGATTAGTGAAGGGAATGAACTTCTCAGTGGTGGTCTTTGACACTGCCCCTACTGGTCACACACTGCGACTGCTTAACTTTCCCACGATTGTGGAGCGAGGTCTAGGCCGCCTCATGCAGATCAAGAACCAGATTAGCCCTTTCATCTCTCAGGTGGGTGCTGAGACGAGCAGATCGGTTCAAACCATTTTCATTATTCTGCACATAAAACATGATTTCTGATTAAATATATTCACTTTGTTGGCCTTTTTCTTTCTCCAGTGTTTTCTCTTTCTCTCTTCTCTTGTTTTCACTCACACTGTCCATCTCTTTTGCTGTTTCTAGATGTGTAATATGCTTGGTCTGGGTGACATGAACGCAGACCAGCTGGCCTCAAAGCTTGAAGAAACCCTGCCAGTCATTCGCTCAGTTAGTGAGCAGTTCAAAGACCCTGTAAGTCACATTTATATATTCTTATACAACTTTGGGATTTATATAGTAATAGCTTACTATTGATTTGATGATTGAGGGTAGAATTAACTGCCTTTTAACGGGAAGAGCCCTGTCTGGTGGAAATCAGGTTAAGGGAGGGTGCTCCTCTCTGATTTTATTATGTATATAAAAATGTGTTTTCTAGTTCTCTTACATTTGGGATCAACTGAAAGCTTTTCAGAGAGCCTTTAGAACAACTCGATAAAAGAAAATTACACTTGTCTAGCCTAAAAATAATAATGATCCCTGGACATTTTTTTTACCTTCAGCCACTTTCTAATTTTGGCATTATTGTACAGATGAACCAGATGCAACATCATTGTCAGTTAAAGATGTAATTGCTTTAATGGTTGTAGTCTCCACCCACCCACGATGAATAAGCCTTTTCACACTACACTTCAGTCATATACTGTTCTAATGAGGTGCTGTGGTAGCTACATGCACACCCTCTGTAACAAGTCTTATCTGATGACAGAAGAAACTTTAGCTGGTTCGAGTGTCAATAGTGTGTGTGGATACAAGAGTTTTTTTGGAGTGACTCACTGTGCACAGCGGCCTGTTGCACATGCATGTATCCCTCTTATCAAGCCCTCTTTATACTATTTTGTCATTAGGACAAAAGAAGTTTCGACAACAGTTTCACCTTTTTATTATTTTCTTTTAAAGTTCTAACTCCACCCCTGTTGAGCCCTAGTAGCTAGTCTGTTTTACTTGACTGCTTTAGGTTTTGTTGTTCCTTTTGATTTTGTTCTTTGATGGGAACTCATCTACCTGTTTAGACAAAATATTTAATGTAAATAACGAATTCAGTATTTGGAGGAAATTTGAGCTTCATGAAGTCATATTAATAGTTTTTATCTATGTGTGTTGTGACGCACCTTCCTCTCACCCTTCAGGAGCAGACCACCTTCATCTGTGTGTGTATTGCTGAATTTCTGTCACTTTATGAGACAGAGCGGCTGATTCAGGAACTGGCCAAGTGCCGCATCGACACGCACAACATCATTGTCAACCAGCTCGTTTTCCCTGATGCAGACAGGCCGTGTAAAATGTGTGAAGCCCGCCATAAAATTCAGTCGAAATATTTAGACCAGGTATGAATCAGGAGAAATGGGAAAGTTTATTTACAATATTTACAGTTCAAAGTCACACAACTTTATTGGTGGTTTGTCTTCTGCCCACAGATGGAAGATCTTTACGAGGATTTCCACATAGTCAAGTTACCTCTACTGCCCCATGAAGTTCGAGGTGCTGACAAGGTCAACACGTTCTCTAAGCAACTTCTGGAACCCTACAAACCCCCAAACAAGTGATGTCCTGCCCCCTCGCAGGGCCGCCTCCTCTCCCCCCATTCTACAGACACAGCTCTGCAGTCTGAGTTATCCTCCTCTGAGCTCCATCCCCAGCAAGCCTCAAATCCTGCAGCAACAGCCTCAAGACGATCCATTCAGTCCTCAACACGGTATCTTCACAGCACGGTTACAGCGAGACACCCGCCTGCATTGAAGGGTGCCCCACCCCCCACGACATCACAAGTAAACCCATAGAGAAGCTGCATTATTTTTGGAGATAAGATGGTACATATGCGTGCCGCCTTACTCTCACTTCACCTTCTCTTGTCTTCATATCCACTGTGGCAGTTCCTACTTTAAGCATTTAACTTTTTCTCGACAGAAGAATTGAAAAATCGTCCCCTCCTCCCCCACACCCTGTGCAGTGTCCGGCCTCAGTTGTGAAAACAAAGTGTTTCCAGTGACAGTGCTGTGTGTTTGAGGAGAAAACAGCTTTCAGATGGTTGATGTTTATGACTTGTTTATTCTGTGTGATTCATGGTGACTGTGTGTCTTCTTCCATTTGATTTGCAACTTAAAAATTCAAACAAACTCGTGTATCACACTTTTTCCATCCAGATTTCTATATTCAGGTTGTGGTGGTGGCAGGGAAATAAAAAAGAAAACACAAAAAAAAACCAGGAAGACAGCTTGTGTGGTCTTTAGTTACAGCCTTGTTATTGCAACCAAAACAAACTGAAACAAAACAAATTTGAGTGTCTTTTACCATTTATCAGATCATTAGATGACAATAATGAGAACATCAGTCAGATTTATTGTTTTCTATCCATAAAGGACACTAGTTGCTTTGGTTGGTATGTGGAGGAAGGTTGCAGTTTTATTTGATGTGACTGGTGATGTTTGAGCTGGAAGCTAAAGCTGTTGGGCACTGCTGATCTCCCTGTTCATGTTCCTATACAGCGCTCATAAACTCATCCAGTGTGTTTCTGTCAAACCTGTGTCCATCCTGTTGACTGAGAACTATATGGGAACACCATTGAAAGATATTAGTAGCCTTATTCAGCGCTTTGTTAATTAAAATACATATTGAATGTCACTTGATCAAATGTTAAATGAATGGTGAGGTGAAGGAAATTTAAAGCATCCTTTCCC